GGGAAAAAGTTGTGTCTATCGATAGGCAATACTTTGAATGATTTATTTGTAACCATTTTTTTATAATAAAATTATATTTTTATCGAAAAAAAGCGAGAACTTAGTTGCGCACCTAATATTATTAACCTAAAATTTGCCGCTAGATTCCGCCTGTTAAGTTATACATTTTTCGCCATTGCATCAGTGGCAGAATCACACGCTTTAATATTTGTCATGCGCGATTTTGAACGTTGCATTGCTGACAGCGACATCAATCACCGACTGTATCAGCTGGATTACCGGTTTACCAAATTTTAACCACGCACAGTATCATTGCCGGGCACAACTTTCATCCTGTAGTCGTCCTGATACAGAACCTTCAGCGTGCTCTGTATGAGGCTGTATTTCAAAGAATCACACAGGCGGCTAGCAATTAACGCCCAACCCAAATAATAACAGATTATGAGCAAGCCCTCCAGTCTGCTATGGTATCGATACCAGGAGTTGTAACACAAGACTGCTTGTTACGTTACATGCAAGCTTTCGTGCGGCAGGCCAGGCAGTGGAGGCCGGCCTGGCCGAGTTACCGCAACATCGCGCAGCAGGAAGTGCTGCCCTACAACGAACACTCACGACTTCGTTTTGCAGTGGATGACACTCGTAAGTAATACCACAGAGGAAATAATGTAATACTTTAGTGTCGAATTCGTCCAATTTCGAGAGATCCTAGTGCAAACGAGCATATTATATTGTCGGACGTGGGCATTGAGGTAGTAGTAAATGTTGTCTCCGCAATTGGTCAAGTTGTCGTTGAAGACAACGTCGCGCAGTTAGCACCGGAGGTGGTCGAAGCACTATCAACTCCACACCACCAACACCACAACATCTATTAACTATGGAACTTGGGTTCCTTATGAGTTGAAGCCAAGAGACGTTGAGCGTCGTTTTTTCGCCTGTGAACAATTGCTCTAGCGGCGAAAACGGAAGGGTGTCCTTCATCGCATCGTGACGGGTGATGAAAAATGGATTCATTACAGCAACCCAAAGAGGAGAAAATCCTGGGGACTACCCGGGCATGCTTCTACGTCGGCGGCTCGGCCGAATATTCATGCTGCAAAGGTTATGCTGTGCATTTGGTGGGACCAGGTCGGTGTCATTTATTATGAGCTCTTGAAACCGAGCGAAACCATCACTGGGGAACGTATCGAACTCAATTAATGCGATTGAGAAGATCACTGCGCGAAAAACGGCCACAGTGCGAGCAAAGGCGCGAAAAAGTGATTTTACTGCATGACAACGCTCGGCCTCACGTTGCCAAGTCTGTTAAAACCTACTTGGACACGCTCAAATGGGAAGTCTTACCCCACCCGCCATATTCCCCTGACATTGCGCCGTCCGATTTTTACTTGTTCCGTTCGATGGCCCATGGTCTGGCTGTTCAACAGTTCCACTCAAATGAAGACATCAAAAAATGGCTTGATTCGTGGATAGCCTCAAAAGACGAACACTTCTGGCGTCAAGGTATTCGAAGTCTACCAGAAAGATGGGAAAAAGTTGTGTCTAGCGATAGGCAATACTTTGAATGATTTATTTGTAACCATTTTTTTATAATAAAATTATATTTTTATCGAAAAAAAAGCGAGAACTTAGTTGCGCACCTAATATTATTAACGTAAAATTTGCCGCTAGATTCCGCCTGTTAAGTTATACATTTCTCGCCATTGCATCAGTGGCAGAATCACACGCTTTAATATTTGTCATGCGCGATTTTGAACGTTGCATTGCTGACAGCGACATCAATCACCGACTGTATCAGCTGGATTACCGGTTTACCAAATTTTAACCACGCACAGTATCATTGCCGGGCACAACTTTCATCCAGTAGTCATCCTGATACAGAACCTTCGGCGTGCTCTGTATGAGGCTGTATTTCAAAGAATCACGCAAGCGGCTGGCAATTAACGCCCGTCCCAAATTATAACTGATTATGAGCAGGCCCTCCAGTCTGCTATGGTGTCGATAACAAGAGTTGTAACCCAAGACCGCTTGTTCCGTTACATGCAAGCTTTCGTGCGGCAGGCCAGGCAGTGGAGGCC